ATCTCATTCACAAGTTTCTGGGCTTTTTGTATCCTGCTGAAAAGCAACAACTCTGTGCTGCAATTTGGGAGACTCAAATAGCTATTTCTGCCTTATAAGGCGTCATCAGTGAGCCACACCCTCTTCTCAAGTATCCTCCCTGTAAAGGTACAATATATATATATATCTCCCAAAGGGCAGCACAGAGTCTGCTGTCTGTCAGCAAGAAACAAAAAGCCCAGAAACGTGTGAATGAGATTTCACAGAACCAGGGCTGTATAACATCGTAGCTTACGTAGGTAAAACCTGGCTAGAAAGAATATGCATATATATATATATATATATATATATATATATATATATATATTTTATAGGAACCAATCTGAGTCACACACTGGGACCAGAGATTTAGTCTTCTGAGCTTTCGGACTCATGCTAGAGCCCATCCAGAATGGTTGGGCTCTAGCTAGGGCTCGTTGCTAGATTTCCCTAGTGAGGAAAATCCTCACATCCTGGTCAACACTTCTTTGCCCTCCTTCCATCGGGAAGGAGATACAGAAGCATAGCCAGCTGCACAAACAGGCTGAAGAACAGTTTTTATCCGTGGGCTGTCAGACTCCTGAATAATATCATAACTACATAGTACGAAGGACTTGCAGGGCGGCGCAACATGGGGCGAAATCCAGCAGGTTCTGGAGAACCGGTAGCAGAAATTTTGAGTAGTTCAGGGAACCAGCAAATGCCACCTCTGGCTGGCCCCAGAGTGGGGTGGGAATGGAGATTTTGCAATATCCTTCCCCCAGGAGTGGGATGGGAATGGGGATTTTGCAGTATCCTTCCCCTGCCACGCCCACAAAGCCACATCACACCACACCCACCAAGCAACGCCCACAGAACCGGTAGTAAAAAAAATTGGATTTCTCCACTGGTGCAACATGTTCATACTGGTGCAATAGGACTGGGGTTTTGTTTATTTTATTTTATTTTTGATTTATATGCCGCCCTTCTCCGGAGACTCAGGGCGGCTTACAAGGCGTTAAGCAATAGCCTTGTATATTTATACAAAGTCAGCTTTGTATAAAGCCCCCACAATCCGGGTCCTCATTTTACCTACCTTAGAAAGGATGGAAGGCTGAGTCAACCTTGAGCCTGGTGAGAATTGAACTCGCAGTAATTGCAGGCAGCTGGAAGCTAAATACTATCTTTTAACAGTAGCATTAGTCTGCTGAGCCACTCAGGCTCCTGTTAATATGATTTATCGGGTTAGGGATTTTCTGTCTTCACTGTGAATTGTATTGTGTTGGGAGGCGGGTGCACTGAGGGAGCTCAACCAATCTCATTGGACATACGTTGTGCACTGACAATAAAGATTTGAATTGGTGGAGAGAAGTTCCCGGAGGATGGGCTCCAACATTTTATTTATTCTATTTTATTTTTATTTTTTATTGTGTGTGTATAAATAAGTTGTTGATTACAATCTTTTAAGATATCGGTTCAGATATGTAGTATGTATAACATACAAAATAACGCAGAAACTGTCATGGGTGGCATATTCAGAACGGTAAAAAGCAACTGGTACTTTGGGATAATTAACATCCTGGTCCTTTTGCTCCTGTTCTCCAGGTCTTATTACCTAATTTGAAGTCCAAGATACAAATCACTTACGGCCAAGTGTTGCTGCAATATTAGCCAATTTGGTTGAGTTTTCCTATTTGGCTATCCTTATAATCGTTTACCAATCCCTTGAGCTAATACTACTGGAGCTACTCATGGTTTGGTCCTGCTGAGGTTACTAGATAATTTGCTCCCGAGAGCCTAAGACTTTCCATCATTTATTTTCTGCAACATCTCTCGATATTTGGCCTTAGTTGTATGAGACAGCAGAAAAATCTACTTTTGCAGGACACCAGGGAGAAAAAAGGAATAGGACGAGATGTTCCATCGTAATTATCTCTGGTCGTTCCGTTTGAGAAATATATATACATATATCAGTGGGTGAAAGTGGGCCCTTGTGCAAGATAAGAGCCCTGGAAAACCTTTCAGGATTGATGTAAACATACCAACTCTATAAGAAGCCTTATTCGAGTTATGTCTGTCTGTATGTCTCTGTGTATGTCTGTGCAATCCCACACAGTTCTTAATTTAAGTTTTGGGGAGACTTAATATTTCACCTAATGTGTCCCTATTTCAGTGGTGAAATGTAAAATTTGTTCCTACCGGTTCTGTGGGCTTGGCTTGGTGGTGGGGGGGGTAATGTGACTTGGTGGGCATGGGCAACTTTTTTTTTTTTATGTTTAAAAGCATTTTTTCTACAACCTCTTCGGCCGAAACACTACGCAAATTGGAAGAAAGAAATATGCCACAAGAATCATTTTACACAGGTACCTCCCCCTCTCTCCCCAAAACCATTTTTAAAAAATGTCTGAAGGGGGCAGAAGCGAATCTGGCAAAAAGCGGTGTTTTGCAATAAAGACTCTGAAACTCATCGTTTTATTATAAGCTGCCTGGAGTCACTCAGGAGAGATGGGCAGTGCAGAAATGTGATGAATAAAGAAATAAAATACTTTTTATAGAAGCAGCCAATAAAAGCTTTCTACAGCATCAATATGTATTCCCAGCCTTTTTTTTTTTTTAGAAGATATGGTATCACTGGGATTACAAACTGCTTTTTTACTAATTATCATGAGAATATTGGAGTATATTAAAGGCATTTTTCCAGCGATGCCACATGAGACTCTGATGTTTCTATATTTTCCATATAGAAATTAACTGCATCAATTAACCGAAGGATATCAAACTGGAGTGTATGGGGTGGAAAAAAAGCCTTACTCTCAATCAAAAGGATTTTCACAAGGGATTTAAACCAGGACAGGTGCCAACCTGATGCCAATGATCTTTGAAGGACAAATCAGGCAGTCTACATGCATGTCTATTAACTGGGCATTGGAATTTGAAGAAATCAGAGGAAGGATTTCCATCATGAAGACTGTATGGCCGCACATTTTTTTTTTAAAAAAAAGAGATTTATTGGGCTACTAAATGGCATTTTCATAATATCACAGCATCCAAATTAAGTTTTTTTCCACACACAGTTGTTTTTGTTTTCATTCATTCATTCCATAGCTGCCTATTTCACATTCGTGACTCTGGACCAGGGGTGAAATTCAAAATTTTTCCCTACCAGTTCTGTGCGCGTGGCTTGGTTGGCATGGCAGGGGAAGGATACTGCAAAATCTCCATTCCCACCCCACTCCTGGGGGAAGGATATTGCAAAATCTCCATTCCCACCAGACTCCAGGGGAAGGATACTGCAAAATCCCCATTCCCACCCCAGTCCTGGGGGAAGGATATTGCAAAATCTCCATTCCCACCAGAGTCCAGGGGAAGGATACTGCAAAATTTTAAAATGTTATCTAATTCTGGGTTTTATTTAATTGATCAAACTAAGTAATAATTGTAATTAGCAATTTTATGATGTTTGTGTGTCTATATTTTTCTTGACTGTACACCGCCTTGAGTCCTACGGGAGAAAGGCGGTATAGAAATATAATAAATAAATAAATAATAATAAATAAATAAATAAAATCCCCATTCCCACCCCAGTCCTGGGGGAAGGATATTGCAAAATCTCCATTCCCACCCCACTCTGGGACCAGCCAGAGGTGGTATTTGCCGGTTCTCCGAACTACTCAAAATTTCCGCTACCAGTTCTCCAGAACCTGTCAGAACCTGCTGGATTTCACCCCCTGCTCTGGACAGTTTATTATTAAAACATAAACTATACCTCCCCAAAATAAAGCAACCATACAATAGCAATAGCAGTCGCACTTAGACTTATATACCGCTTCACAGTACTTTATACTCCTCTCTTAGCGGTTTACAATTTTAGCATATTGCCCCCAACAATCTGGGTGAAACAATACAAATGTTTAAAAACAGTAAAAAAACCCGTGTTCATCCACTCATTCTAAAATTGCAAGGGAGTTAAAAAACATGTGAGAGTTTTGAACTTTATAATTTGTTAGTTTATTTTAGCATGTTTGTTAGATGCTATACCCTGTTTTTGCTCTGGGAAGTCAGGGGTGTGTGTGGGGAGGGTGGGATAAGGGATGGGGGGGGGGAAAGTGGTCAATAGAGAAATGTTGTAGCAGAAGAAAGTATATTCTATGAGTAGAATATAGGAGTTGCTCAGACACTAAAGGAGGAAAATATTTCACAGCAAAGAAGTTAGAAAGGAGAGAGGAGGAGGGGGTAGGAAGAGGAGAGGGAGGGTGAGGAATGGAAGAAAGGAGAGGAGGAAGGGAAAGGAAGGGGACAGGAGTAGGAGTGAAGGCGAGAAGGGAAAGAAGAGAGAAGTGGGGGAAGGGAAAGGATGAGGTGGGAGAGGAGGCAGGAGAAAGGAGAGAAGAGGAGGGAGGGAATGGAAAGAAAGGAGGAGAGGAAGAAGGTTTGTTGTGGAATGAGGGGGAAAGAGAAGAAGAGCAACTCCGAATGTAATTAAAATGTCTTATTTTAATGCTTTCTTTAAGGGAAACATGTATATGTAGGATTTCTTATGTATAAGAAAATGTACAATTTCTATTATGTGGGGAAGGGGAAAGGGTGGGGGAGAGAAAATTGTTTGTATTTCTTATAAAACTTTTCAATAAAAATAAAATAAAATTGCAAGGTTTCTTTTAAAAGGGAAGAAGCAGAATCAGGTTTTCCAAAAAAAAAAGGCGTTTTTAAACAAACGTCCGTCAAAACGATGCAGAAAACTATTTGCAGATGGCTTAGGCAAGGGCAAAAAAGAAGAATGACAGCCCTCTACAGGCGGGGCTTAAGTTTCCCTAGCAACCGTCGCCAACCGTTCCTTCCTCTCCCTCCTCCCCCCACCTCTCTCTCTAAGGACCAGGGAAAGTCCCGCCCCCGTCTCGGCTCCTCCAATCACAGCAGAGGAAAGCGGCCTGGTACCTAGCGTTGTGTGTTTCCCCGAGAGCGCGCGCGCGTTGATGACGTCATGACGCCAGCGCCAGGCCAGAACCCCCTGTGGGCTTGGGCTGGACCCGGCGCCCTCCCGGCCGCGGGCTGAGGTGAGTCCGTTCGGGTCCGTGGCCCGGTGAGTTCCGACCCTCGCCCCGCTCCTCCTTCTTTGCCCGGCCTCGACGGGGTTGGGCTGGAAGGCCTCGGTCCTCCCGGGGCCTGCGCTTGTTTTCCCTCCGGTCCGCGTGCCAGGCCCGTTTTCGGTCGCCCCCTGGGAGAGAGTCTGGGCCTCCGTCAGGCAGGCCGTTTTCTGCCCCCGGGCAAGAGTTTTTCCACGGCCGGCAGCGAGAGGTCTGGGATAGGCAGCGCACGCGTTTTGACAGCTTGGTTGCCCCCCCAACCCGTTGTTGTTGGAGACCCCAGGACCCATAATTCCCAGCTGGCCTGTTATCCCAACCCATCTGGAAAGGAAGTAGTACTTCAGGAGGCCGAGATATATATATAGAGAGAGAGCTTCAGGGGGCAGCATAGGAAATACCAGTAAAGGAGAAAGGGTGAGGAGGGGTGGGTCCCCACTGGGGGAAAAAAAAAAGACTATATTTAGCTTTTTTTTAAGATAGAGAAATCCTGTTATCCTATTATAATCCTATTATTTGTACCCTATGACTACCATTAAGTGTTGTACCTTATGATTCTTGATGAACGTATCTTTTCTTTTATGTACACTGAGAACCTATGCACCGAAGATAAATTCCTTGTGTGTCCAATCACACTTGGCCAATAAAGCTATTCTATTCTATTCTATTCTATTCTATTCTATTCTATTCTATTCTATTCTATTCTATTCTATTCTATTCTATTCTTATCTATATATCATCTCTCTATTTATCCATCCATCCATCTATCAGCTATTTATCTCTGTCTATCATGTATCTATCTATCATCCATCCATCCATCCATCCATCCATCCATCCATCTATCATCTATCAACTTTATATCTATCTATCATCTGTCTATCTATAGATCATCTCTATTTATCCATCCATCCATCTATCATCTATCAGCTATTTATCTCTGTCTATCATGTATCTATATCATCCATCCATCCATCCATCTATCTATCATCTATCAACTTTATCTATCTCTATCTATCTATCATCTGTCTATCTATAGATCATCTATCTATCCCTCTATCCATCCACCCTCTATCTATCTATCTATCTATCTATCTTATCTATCTTATCTATCTATCTATCTATCATTTAGTAATAGGCATCTGCCTCAGGCAGCCCTCCCCCCCCCCCTTTCATCTAGCTTGGTTTTTTAAACTTTACAAACTCTTTCACATCACCTGTTACCAAAGCTTTTTATTATTATTGCTGGCTGGGGAATTCTGGGAGTTGAAGTCCACGCATCTTCAAGTTGCCCAGGTTGAAAAACACTGATTTAGAACGACTTTGAATTGAACTTTGTGGGTGAAATATGTTTCTCGTTAAGTTTTGGTCTCTCTTTTTTTTTAATGGATTAACTTTTGAGATGTTGTTAAATCAGGCCTGTCCTTGTGTATGACACTTCTTCACCTACCACATCATAGCTGTGTGTGTCATACTGATCAAGTGTGTGCCATTAGTTTTGTGGTTAAATGTGTCTTGTGAAACTCTTAACATGTGTTTCATTGGATAAAATAAGGTAACCACAGCTCAATGTGTTGTGCAAAGATGGATTCAGGTTCTACGGCTAATCAAGCTGACAGGCAGTTGAATTCTTGAGCAAGTGAGAAAAGGGCATGGATGTTCTATCTAGACAGAACTCTCCCACCTTTTTTCAATCCAATACAAAGTTTGATTGCTATCTCTTTCTTGAGCCTGAATGATCATTCTAATCCTGTACATAGAGTTTGGCTTTAAAGAAATGTTTAGGATTATGTATTAACCTTTTAACACTGAATTTCTAAAGCTGCTTGGTTTCGAATATGGGTAGTCTATGTCTTAATGATAATTTGTTTAACAACACTTCAAATATAATTTATATTTATAATGGCCTTCGGAAAAATGACTTATGACCTGTACTTGTATTTACGACCATTGTATCATCCCCAGTCGTATGATTGCAGTTTGGGCGCTTGGCAGCCAGCTCTTATATGTGACCAGTTTCAGTGGCCTGCAGTCATATGATTGCAATTTGTACTTTTTTTTGCTACTTTTCAGCATAAAGCCCCATTGGGGAAGCAAGATCTGCTTCCCCAATGGCCACTATAAAAATTGTCATAAAATTGGGCCTGATTCAGCTTTCAACCACAATGTCTTTGAATGGAAATTCTAATCCCAATTGCGGTCATAAATCAAGGACTACCTGTATTGCATTTCTTTTTGATAGGCTTATAAAGTTGTACTTATTCTGCCATTCTCAAAAGATGAGATTGTCTTTCAGTTTCTCAGGTTTTGTTTATCTGCGAATAGCTGAAATACGTATGGTAAACTTACTTGGAAAGATTCAAAACTTTCTTATGTTTGATTGCATGTGTATAAAATTCAGAAAAGTTTAATTAATGTTAAATCTAAAAACTAAAATTTTCTAAACTAATAATCTGTCGATGTAGAACATAAATTTTAATCCTCTTCCTAAACCAGGGTTCCCCAAAATGGTTACTATTGACCCCCAAGGGTCGATGAGACTATCCACTGTTATTATTATTCTATTAGTTAAAGTGGTATTTATTAAATTTCATATAATGTTTAGGGTCCATGAACAATTTGAAATTTCATGAAGGGTTTGATGAGCTGTCCTAAACTCCAGCACTAATTCTAAACCATAATAATTCCCAGGATTAGTATTATTGACACTGAAACCTTAATGCTTTCTACCCATAGAAACCGGATATTTTCTGACTACAGCGTTTTTGATATTTCTAAAAAGTTCCTGATGTTTGAATTAAGCTGTAGATCCAGGAAAAAGAACTGAGCCAACACCCTGACTGTTCTTTCTTTCTTTTCAGCTTCTTAGGATGTTGCAATGGTTGGAATTGCTCCAGACATGGTTGCTGTGGTGCTATCCTGGGAGACCATTTTGATGGAGGACTAGTACCATTCAGTGATGGGCTGTGGGACTAGTAAAGTCCTTCCCGAGCCTCCCAAGGATGATCCTTTGGATCTTGTTAAAAAGGTCGATCCCTACACTGATTATAAAACTGACATATATAAACATTTCATCAAAGGTGATGGAGATGCCATCAAGTCTGCTATTCCTTCTCCTCCGTGTCACACCAATCCGTATGTGGAACAGCAGGAGCCCCGCAAGAACAGAGTGGCAAAATACCGTGCCAAATTTGACCCCAGAGTGACAGCCAAGTACGACATCAAAGCTCTGATTGGCCGAGGTAGCTTTAGCCGGGTGGTACGAGTGGAGCACAAAGCTACCAAGCAACCTTATGCAATCAAGTTGATAGAGACCAAATACCGCGAGGGGAGAGAAGTATGCGAATCGGAGCTGTGCGTGCTACGCCGAGTGCGGCACACGAACATCATCCAACTCATCGAAGTTTTCGAGACTCAGGAGCGCGTCTACATGGTGATGGAGCTGGCCACAGGAGGCGAATTGTTCGATCGTATTATTGCTAAAGGGTCTTTCACGGAAAGAGATGCCACCCGAGTGTTACAGATGGTATTGGACGGGGTTAAATACTTGCATACGTTGGGCATAACTCACAGAGACTTGAAGCCGGAGAACTTGCTCTATTATCACCCAGGTATGGACTCTAAAATCATGATCACCGATTTCGGGCTGGCGAGTGCTCGGAAGAAAGGAGATGACTGCTTAATGAAGACTACCTGTGGGACCCCGGAGTACATTGCCCCAGAGATCTTGATCAGGAAGCCTTACACTAACTCTGTGGACATGTGGGCTCTCGGGGTGATCTCGTACATCCTACTAAGTGGGACTATGCCTTTTGAGGATGATAATCGCACCCGCTTGTATCGGCAAATCCTGAAAGGAAAATACAGCTACTCTGGGGAGGTGAGTAAAGGGATGATGATGATGATGATGTGTATGATGAGAACATGACAGAAGAGAAGTAAATATATATACACCGTCCATGTAATTACAAGTAATACTTCTAAGAGGGTGTGTGGTAGTGGCCTTATAACTGGATATCCAATTCAGCTATCCAGGCGATCGCCTCTGGCGTTGCTTCATGCAGATATAGGGAACCAGGGAACGCACATTGTGGGCAATCCTGCACAATATGTTTAATGGTTTGTATATCAACACCACAATCGCAACAAGGGGAATCTTTTCGTCCCCACTGATAAAGGGCAAAGGCACTTCTTCCAGCATCAGACCTAATTAAAGGAAATAAAAGAATAGCAAAGCACTAGTGCCGTCCCTATAATGTTGTTGCAGGGACATTTTCAATATTTGAATCACTTCTCAAAGGGGATAATCTGCTTTTTGTGAATTGCTCTGCTCTGAAAAGTTGGTCTCTTCTAGGAATATGCTTGTAGCCAGGGAATGGCCCAAATGCTGCAGTGTGACAGTACCAAAATAGTAACGGTAGAAGGAATTTTTAGCACTGTGCAGCTGTAATAGCAATAGCGCTTAGACTTATATACCCCTTCACAGTGCTTTACAGCCCTCTCTAAGCGGTTTACAGAATCAGCGTATTGCCCCCAACAATAATGTTCTTAATACTCCACCAGTGATATATGGATACATACTATTTCTTAATCTTTTCTTGAAATTTTGCCTGACTGGGGGAGATGCCTTTGAGGTGTGCTATATGTCAAATTTCATGGATTTCATTTGATCTGTTCTTTCTCTGTGTATGTGTGTATGTTTCGCTGGGTTATGTCATGCATGGTCTTTTATAGATGACCTCCAGCTTCCTCTTAAGTATGGTAACTTGAATTAATATACATTGACTTTTAAATGCTTTTGATGAGACTTTAATCATAATTCCATCAAATGTATATCAAAAATACAAAGCTACAGTGTCTTGCCAAAATTGCTTGATTATTGAGTTTGTCCCTCTTAGATTCAAGAGCTGACTTTTCTCACTACCTGCATTTGCACGTAATAACAAAAAAAAAGTTTTGATGCATGACTCTTGAAAGTGGGGCCTCAGATTTCTGCACTGTCCATTTCCTTCCGCCTTGAGAGTCAGAAGAAGAATTTTGTGCAACTTAATTTAGCTGTCCACATTTCTTGTTTCTAAATCAAAACATGATTTGAAACAAAGGATTTGTTACTGGCTTTCCTAGCAGTTGGCAAACATGATTCCTGTTTAATTCATAATAATCAGCCAAGAATGGAAAAAAGATAAACACAATCTATTAAGAGTCTTCCTTTTAGCATGCACAAAGATGAATATCCCTCCCACAAAGTGTTCTCCCATATTTTCAAAGAATTGTCTGTAGACTATACTAAATTCTGGCTTAGTGCTACATACAATTAGGCATAACATTTAATTTAGTTAAAGGATTATTGTTTGCTTGTTCCCAGCATTTTTCCTATTTTGTGTTGCAGAGTTAACTTCCTATGCACTTGTCCCACAGGTGCTTTTTCAAGAGGCAACTGGACTTTCTGGTTTTTTTCTTTGAAGATGTTTCGCTTCTCATCCAAGAAGCTTCTTCAGCTTCTTCTTCAAAAAAAAACAAAACAGAAAGTCCAGTTGCCTCTTGAAAAATCACCTTTGGGACAACCATGACCTGGATGACTGAGAAATCTCCATATGCACTTTTTGTGAGGAAAAAAGAAGTATTTCAGCAGCAGGGATCTTTCTCCTTTTCCACTCGTTCAAAACCCGTGTCTTTTCAAAACTGAGGCTGGGCTCAGGGTAGATTGACAAGAAAAATCTGACGCCAACTACAGGTGGCCCTCCACTTATGACCACAATTGAACTGAACATTTCTGTTGCTAAGTGAGGCAGTTGCTTAGTGAATTTTGCCCCGTGTTACGACCTTTCTTGCCACAGTTGTTAAAAGGAACCACTGCAGATGTTAAGTTAGTAACACGGTTGTTAAATGAATCTGGCTTCCCCATTGACTCTGCTTGTCAGAAGGTCTCAAAAGGTGACCACGTGACCCCAGGACACTGCAGTCGTCATAAATATGAGTCAGTCGCCAAGCGTCCAAATGTTAATCACGTGACCATGGGGAGGCTGCAACGGCCGTAAGGGTCATAAGTTGTAGCTTCGAAAAGTCAGTAAATGAACGTAAGTGGAGGACTACCTGTATTGCAGTTGCTGTCTGCCAGTACAGCAGCAGGTGTCTTCCTAATGTGGTTCCATTCTTGAAGTTTTCCAGAGGCTATTAAGCGATCAATGGCCACGGTACTCTAATAATTCATTCAGGTTCTGCTGACTTCAACTGCTCTAATTATTATTCTTTGGCTCCTGGATGATATATAGTTGATGACCAAGAAGGGAAATTTAATGCAGCTTGGAGGAGACACTACAAACACTTCTGATGATGTTAGCTTCCTTGCGTTACAGTGCTTATCGGAGCAGGATCAGCTCAATTTACCTATTAGGAACTAATTGTGTTTTTCCCTGCACCCTGCAGCTTCTTTGCTTTATCAGGGCTTAGTTCAATAAGCAGAAGGCTTTGTTTTGCCATATATATATATTGCTGATAAAGAAATAAAGGGAGACTAGTATAGATCTATTTCAAGCTTTTTAGCTTTCATCAGCTAGCCATACCCTTACTTGGATTCGAACTTGGGCATCAGGATACACAGCAGAAAAAACTCCATCTGATGTGTCTGGTGATTCCAGATGAGAAGTCAAATGGTTTGATATATCCTATTGTTCTGCGTGGTTATGATTGATAGCAAAAACTCCAGGTAGAAGCATCCCCAAATTACCTGCCTGCATCTTTGACTAATTTATGAAGGGGGCCACATGACAGGAAGCGATGGGCAACGGGGAGAAGAAGGCATCTGTGTTTTACATTTTTTTATATAGAGAGATTTTAAATATGTACTAAAATGTTCATGTATTTCACATCTCAGAATAGCAGGATGTGATGCTGTTAATCTTCACAAACAATCTGAGCAGCTACTTTTTGCTTTTATAGTTAAACTTAGACCGTCCCCTTAGATTTTCACCCAAAGCTCAGCAATAAATCTTTGTTTGGGAACTTGGATAGGTAAGTTGCTCGTATTGCAGATACAAGAAGCCCTAATGACAATAAGCTGCTGTACAATCTCAAGCCCTCTTTAAAATTCGTGTTTGTTTCTCCTATCTTCACATGGTAATAGACTTCTGGCTGCTTGTTTCTCAGCCTGGCCTCCTATTTTGATAACATCTGGTCCAAGGTTGTTAGTTCCCAGCCCTCCCAGCTTCAGTCTTCACAATTACACAACATGTTTTAAATATACCACGTTTCCCCCGAAAATAAGACCTGTCTTATATTTTTTTGAACCCTGAAATAAGTGCTTGCCCTTATTGCCATGCGCTCAAAAACCCGATTGGGCTTATTATCAGAGATTGTCTTATTTTGGGGGAAACAGGTATGAAATAGCTCAATACATTCTACATGTTGCAAAGTGCAGATGGAACTTCAGTGGCAGGCTGCAGTTATTTCCACAGTTCCTAATTTATTTATTTATTTATTTATTATTTATTGGTTCGATTTATATGCCGCCCTTCTCCGAAGACTCAGGGCGGCTTACAATGCGTTAAGCAATAGCCTTCATACTTTTGTATATACCTGCTTAGTAGGGCTTTCGCGCCCCCCCCCCAAGCGGTGTTCTATTTTATACAAAGTCAGCTTATTGCCCCCACAATCCGGGTCCTCATTTTACCTACCTCGAAAGGATGGAAGGCTGAGTCAACCTTGAGCCTGGTGAGATTTGAACTTGCAGTAATTGCAGGCAGCTGGTGCTACTTTAACAGTGCTTAATCAGCTACGCCACCAAGGCTCCTGTACATAGCTCTGTTATGTCATCCTCCAGGATATTCCATTCTATTCAGTCGTTTCATTTTACATTTTTCCTTTCTAATTAATGCTGAGTATTGTGTGGTTTTCTCATTAGAATGCGATTATGAGCTTTTTTCTTTTAATGTCTGCAAGCCTTAAATTCCCTCTGTGTTTGCTCATATGCTCCTGTTGAAGCCCAGTGACTGTGGTGGTTCTAGCTGTATTTTGTCTTAGCAGCTGTCCTCCTGCTTTCCCCCACAAAATCTCCCTTGCAAAAGTAAAAGCTGGTTGATAAGTTTGCACGTAGCCCAAGATTGTCTGGAAAGACACTGTGTTTTACAAGACTACCCTGTTTCCCTGAAAATAAGACCTCCCTGGATAACAAGCCCAATTGGGCTTTTGAGCACATGTGCTAAAATAAGTCCCCGCCCCGAAAATAAGCCCTCCCCGAAAATATTTAAACGCATGCACAGCCGGTCCCCACCATTTCCTCTGGTTAGGGTTAGGGAGACAGAGCTGGAAATCAGGTAAGACGGCAAGAGGAGCCCCGTCTTGCTCCACCTGCCCCAAAAGGATAAGCCCTCCCCCAAAATAAGGCCAAGTGCTTATTTCGGGGTTCAAAAAAAATATAAGACAGGGTCTTATTTTCGGGGAAACACAGTATTAAGGTTAGAGAAGCCTGGTTTCAAATCTCAGGAAACACAAAACTGCTTGGCTGACCTTGAAGAGTCACTTAAAGTAATCCTCGACACAGATTAGAGAGGAAAAATGCTACCCAGGCAACGAAAACGTTTATTGCTAAGGTATTTGATAACGCACAGGCAGAACCCAATTGAATTTGCACATACAGGTAGTCCCGGACTTACAACAGTTCATTTAGTGACCATTCAAAGTTACAACGGCACTGAAAAAAAAGTGACTTATGACCATTTTTCACACTTATGACCCTTGCAGCATTCCCCCATGGTCACGTGATTTACATTCAGATGCTTAGCAACTGACTTGTATTTATGACGGTTGCAGTGTCCCGGAGTCACGCGATCTCCTTTTGCGACCTTCTGACAAGCAAAGTCAATGGGGAAACCAGATTCACTTAACAACCAGGCTACTAATTTAAGAACTGCAGTGATTCACTTAACAAATGCGGTGAGAAAAGTTGTAAAATAGAGCAAGCTCACTTAACAGACTTCTCACTTAGCAACATAGGTTTTGGGCTCAATTGTGGTCGTAAATTGAGGACTTCTTATATTAAACCTTCCCAGTTCCTTGTTTGTTATTTAATAATGATATTAAGAGGAAAATACTGCAGATAATGTATGAAGCTTAAAAGAAGGCGAAATAAAGCAAATGCCACTGGTCCAGC